TCCGCCTGCCGTTTTAAAAATTTTAAAAATTTTTTTTCAAGGTTTGGAAAAAATTTTTTTTCCCCTTTCGGGGGAAAAATTTTTTGGGGATTTTTTCCCCAAAAGTTTTGGAGGAAAACCTTTTTTTGGCCCTTTAAAATCCCCCCTTTTTTTCCCCCAAAAAAAAAAACCGCCCTTTTGTTTTTCAGAAGGGGTAAAATTTATTCCCCCTTTAAACCAAAGGGAAAAAACCCCCCCCCCCCCCCCCCCCCCCCCCGAACCCCAACCATATTTTTCATTTTTTCCGAGACGTCTGTTCACTCTTATCTCTTCCCTCGTTCGCCCCACCAGGAGTACATGCCCACCCACAATGTGAAGCCGTGGTGGTGGCATTCCGACGTGGACCACGTCGCCGAGGCACAGGCGAAGGGACTACCGCCCCCGCCGGGACGCCGCATGGACTGGGAGGCACCGAAGAGCTCTAAGGTTGCCAGCTGGTAGAGAAAGAGAGAGAGAGAGAGATAGCTTGGACAGACGACGCCGGTGCCTACCTGTGCTTGTGTCTGTTTTTTGTCTCGATAAAACAAAGTGTTTTTTTGGTTGGCAGTGATTGCGCTGGTCGCCATGCGCCATCGTTGGTCTGGTCTCGCGGGAGAGGAAGCGCGGCTATTGTTTGCGGCAGAGGATGAGGGCGGGTGGAAGGCTCCTTGGCTCCAGGTCGACTCTAGCTAGAGGGGTCTCGGGGAGAGAGGGTTTCCTTGCAATAGGCTTGCGCCGGTTCCTTTGGAAGGCGCTTTTGTTTCCCTCGATGCGTTGTAGAGGGAGCCTTGTCCTTGATGCAAAAATATGTCTGTCTCCATGTCTCCATTTTCTTGTTTGTTTTCTGGAGCTTGTATAGCTTTAAGCTGTTGGATAGCCAGGACGGCGGAAGATCAACGGGGAAGAAAAAAAGATTACGGCAGCGTTAGTGTTTCGTTGTTTCGGGGGGGGGGGCTCTTGTAGGACAACAAGAGTGACCGGCGAAGACACATTGACTCTGTGATGCATCGTTGCATCTTTTTTTCACGCTCTTCCATGTGTTTGGCTTGATCGCTGTGACCCGAAACTGTCGCGCCGAGGAGAGGGACGCTCTAATCATATGGCCATATGCAAACGTGATTCCATGTTATCATCCTGCTCTAGCTGTGGTCCTGTTTGTCCGATCGGTACAGCAGTGTCATGTTCTTGAAAGATCTCTCGATCGCACCACCAGGTGCACATCCTTGCTTGTCACGATACATACCGCTGTGGAGCGTGTCTTTCGGGCAGATGGAATATTCACAACATTAAGATCCACCACCCACTCAACACTTACGGCTTGCGCATGTTTCCAAAGAGCTGAGCTGCCCACTGCCCACAGGCAACGGGATCGGAGGGGGGGCACAGATTGACATGCAGGATGCCGCTTTTCTCAGAAACATCTCACGGCACCCCCCCGAGTGGCCCTCATGTCGTGCATCATGTCGTATCCATGACACGCAGCGACACAATGATCAAGTGAGACAGATACACCAGCGAGCAGCTGCTAGCCGCAATGGAAGTGGACTTAGTTCTGGAGTCAGTGGTCAGGAGCCCAACAGCGAGCGATGCCCTCGGCCTGTGTACTCGGCTCTTGAGGTACTGTAACTGCTGGGACACGGTCGGTGTTTCTGTTTCCCGCCAAGAACAGCGGTCGCCGACTATTGCAGTGCCAGGGTGTGGCAGGGTGGTGCCGTAGGTGTCGTATGTCTAAAGTAACGCGGTCTGGTGTGTGATTGGTTGTGTGCTGTGCCTTAGTGCAAGGCTGTCTTTTCTCGTGGGAGAGAGCGTGGTCAAGGTGTGTAATAACCTTCCTTTACAACAACAAACGCAGTGATCCAGCAGCAACAGCAGTTGTGTGTCCGCCTGGAAGCAAGGGGTTGTCCAAAGATAGCGACAATCGCCAATAACACATGAGGACGGGATCACAGCAGTACCACGCAAGTCGGAGCCACATCAATATCACCCCCCCCCTACAGGAATAGGCTTTGTTGAGCGAATGTAACTACTCCGGGTGCTAGCCATCGCCTGCTGTACACGGACACACGGACTGCTGTACACGCGGGGTTCGCGGGACTGTCATCTACGATGAGCCCCCGCTGCGGGGCATCCTTGGCAGGGCTCGCTGTGCCGGAGCTAGGGGGCGATGGTAGATGGACATTTCCTGGTTGTATTCGGTTGCTTCACCGAGAATTCCGACGTTGTTTGGCGTGTGACGAAAGAGAGGTGCATCTTTTCGTGGGAGTAGATTTGAATTTCGAAAAACGAAAAGTGGCAGATCTCCGCCTAAACCGCCCGTGCTCTGCGCCGCAGAGCACTCTGCGGACACGAAGTGCCTGTTTTTGTGTTTGAACTGCGTTCATAGGTTGCTGTGCGTGTATAGACGATCTAGCCGTATCGCGCACTGTTAGATCATATCACGAGATCGCAATTCGAGCAACGTACACTACTGCTGTTTCGACATTCACCAAGAAGGCAAGAAGGTGGAGTATCACCTGACGTCTGATAGAGACCAAGCTATAGTCTACGTGTTCATAGTAGAGCAGGGGACCGCTACCGGATTGTTCTACAAAGTACCAGAGTCTGCATGAACACGGGCTTGATTATGAATTACGCTTCCATTAACAGCAGGGTACTCGCGGTCGGGCCCCGGTGTGTGGCATCGATAGTACGTCTCACGCCCTCCGGCAAATCAGCACACATTATGCAACAATGTAGTGGATTAATCAGCACACTACTGCTGTAGTGTATTTGATGCGATACCACCAGCACCAATTATGTTGCCCGCCTATCAGCCTGCCTTGTGCCCCCTGAACCTGCCACCAACATCCTCTCGGCTTCTGTCTCGCACCCCTTTTCGCGCACACCCACAACCCTTCGCCATTTCCACGCTGTGTCGGGGCTGGGCCGTTCTGCCCCATGCGTGGTGCGCAGGCAGGAGAGCACAGGACTGTCGGCCGTGACGGCGCTGCTCGAAAGACTCCGGATGGGCTTGGAGGTGAGACTGTGGGGCCATCCCCACGACTCGTGACTTGAACACGCCAGTGGTAGTCAGGCGGAGTAGAGCAGAAGTCTGGGTTGATAGCTACAGCAACCCCCAGACGTTGCTTCTCTCCAATAGCATCCGTGTTGTTAGCGTGTGTGCTCATTCTACATTTCTCAAGGTGAAAGCCGAACAATAATAAATATCCCGCGTGTGGTGGATGTCAGTATGTACCCCGACACAGCAGTAACACGTCACCAGCGTGATACCACGCCATGGTTTTGAGCCATGACATGTCGCAATATGTCACGCCCCCTCAGGAGGAGGCCGGCACGCGGACGATCTTGCAGGGCATACGAGGGGCTTGCGCACCACCATCTTCTATCTGTGACCAGGTGTGAGATGAGGGCTGGGGGTGACTGTCCGGGATGCCGCCAAACTGTATCTGCCGTGTTTTTTTATTCGAGGGGGGGGGGTGTACTCATAGTCGTGCATGGCGTAGTCGTTAGACCATTGACCTCGCATCCCTCCAAAGCCGGGACGGAGCACGCCGGGTTCTCACCGGACCAAGCTCTCACATCACCAAGCGCGAAGCGCCGTGAGGTATTCGGCGAGTCGCATGAAGGGTGCGCTGCATCTTGCTAAGGGTGTTCGGCATCTTGTGCTTACTTCCTTGCGTACGGATGACAGCTGCGTATGACTTAATTTATTTTCTGGTGCGTTCACTTCCAGAGACAGTTGTAAGCGCTGTGTAACTGCCTCGAGGGTGCTTGACCAATTTAACACAACGTGCGATTATCCCCTTCGCGCGGAGTGAGGTTTCTCGGCCCCGCACAACATGATCTACTCGACCAGCAGTCATGGTGTTTTTTCAGCGGCAGGCTCTTGTTTTTCCCTGAAAACCTGGTGTTGTGGTGATCTTCGAAATCAATGGAATGCGTGGGGTTTAGCGCGTAGATACTTACTTTAGATTTTCGTAGTCGGTGTGTGATGTGTGATGCATTTCCGTTGAACGCTCTCGTATCACGTTTGTCCGCCCGAACTTTCTTTCCCCTCACCCCTCCCCCGCCCCCGCCCTCGCCGGCATCGCCTTGCCGGCGTATCGTTTTCATTCCGATCTTCTTCGGCAGCTGTTGCAACTGCTACCGTTGGTCTCGCCCCCGACGGCTCTAGTGGAAGCCCTGCCGCAGTTCGTAGGAGAGGACCCGGTAGACATCGCCAACGTGGTCAAGGAGTACAAGGACCTGCTGGAGGGAGATCGCTCCATGCTCGTGCACGTCATAGGGTAAGAGGGGTTTGACACATGTCAGTTTAAATGCATGCTCATGCACGTGTAGGGTAAGAGAGGTTTGGCACGTGCCGTTCGGAGGGTCGCGATGCATTCTCGTGCACATCAACGTGCGAGATCCTAGTCCGGTCGCCAGGAGACTGAATGTTGCGAATCGTGCTAGTGCACGCGATACTAAATAATAGTGTAAGATGTGGTGGATGTGTTGGGGGATTTCGATGCGACACGCTTCTCTGTCTGTTGTGTCAGTCTTCTGTCTGCCAGACAGTGCAAGCTGGCAATAGTTTCGGGGTTACCCACCGGGTAAACTATCGTTACGGACGTTGTCTCTGCTCTTGAATCGAAAGAAAATCTTGAGCGCTCACGTGCTTTACTCACGATTCTACGCCACGAGGACGCGTACCCGTGTTCCTGTTCTTAGCGCTACCCCTGTACCCCCCCCCGCACACCCCACATGCTCCCTGAATGCCTCCCGTCGTTGGTGAAAACAGGTCACTGTACGACCTCCCCCTGGGGGCAGACACGCGACAGGAGGTTTCCACCATGACTCTCGAGGTGACACGATGGTTGGTGGAGAGGGGGGTTCTCGTGGTGATTGGGTTTTGGCGGTTTCAGCACACGCCTCTCAGTTGAGTCGCAGCGGCGCCGTTACGTTGCATCGCTCTTTGCGAGAGAAAGCCACGTGGGGAGGTTTGAGTTATTTTTACGGTAGGTGCCCTCCGACGAGCCGCGGGCAATACAAGTAAAAGTAGAAATCATCAAGAAGTGAAGCGTCGTGACGTACCAGTATCAGCAGAAAAGGAATCACACATAATTTGCTGTTGCTGTTGCTGTTGTCTCGGGGATCCATCCGTAGGCACACCAGGGACATGCCCCATTCCGTCCTTCTGTACCCCATTCTGTCCTTGTTGTGCTCCCCTCAAGGCTCTATCCGTGGTGGACGAGGAGGACGTGCCTGTGGTCGTGCGGACCCTCTTTAAGACAGCCAGGGAGCGGGACAGCGCCATGGTGGTGTCGAGGGTGAGGGCCGAGTGCGCGGGGCTCGGCATGACGGCGCTGGCGGTGTTGGTCGACGTCCTGGCGGACACGTTCTCCATCAACGAGGTAAGGTACTGCTGTGTCGGCAGAGCGCCTTGCCTAGTGGGTTCTTGTCCTGTGCAGTGTGCAGTAGGTAACCTCGGGTAGGTCCCGAGAGAACGCGGGAACCGCAACACTTTCTTGTCTCTGCCTTACACACATGCCAACGTCGAACCAGAACTTCTGAATGCGTCTGCGTGAGCTGTAGATCCGTTGTCACTGCCTCTCACGTATACCTGCACGGAACCAGATATGCACGTATGAGCTCTCCACCAATGGCTCCCAACCTCCTGCCTTACAAGCGCTTGTGTCGGGATGTTCCTCGCTCGCCCTTGATAGGCGCGGCTAGCCGAACAGAACGGACGCCTGACGGCCACCTATTCATGAAATTGCGGTGCAATACAAGGCAGTCTGGGTCGGTGAGGGCCCCGGCAGTCGAGACAGGGACGTTGATGTCTGCGGTTCTTTCACGACACGGCGACCACCCACGGTACTTTATACATTGTGCGCGCCCCCTCCCCCTGTCACCCTTATCCTGCCTTGCTCGATGCCGAAACCGAAAGAGCGTGGCGAAGACGTTTCTGGCGCAAGTTTCCGCCAGCGTAGCGTCGTCTGCCGCTGGCGAATCGCGATCCTTTGTTCCCTCGAGCGTGGCAGGGGCGGCAGGGGAACAAGGCGAAGAGGTTGATCCGCTGAGCACGCTGGATGTCGTCGGTAAGGAGGGTGACGGGGGGGGAGGCGCCGCACACGTTCATTGGCGCGTGTGTAAATCATGTCGTTAGATCACCGGTGTGCTTTTATCGTTTTGCGGTGATGTAGAAGTGAATCCGACACGTCGACACGAACCGAAAGTCTGATCTTTTTTGCTTTCTTCGTGGCCACGGGCGGGACTCCGTGACTTGCCTGCATCAGTTCGGGGTGTGGAGGGGGGGAGAGATGAGAGAGCTTCCATTCTCCGTTCTTTTGAAGCCGCCGACAACAATAACCACCAGGTCCCCACCTGTTCGGAACAAGGCGCGCTTGCCAGCCCTCACGATAGTATTCAAGATCACAATTGCAACAGGAGTGGACTACATACCTTATGCGATAGCCTATCATGTTCTACCGCCGCTGTGCCTCGTCAGCTTGAACCCAACTGCTAAACGACATTAACAACAACGACAACAACGATGACAACAACAACAACAACAACGTGATGCATTATCATCCACCAAACCCCGCAGGCTTTCTGCTGCTGCTGCCACACCGACGTCACGTGGCCGCCGTGCACAGTCTCCTCGACAAAATTTCAAGGAGACCCGAGCGGCTTCCAACGGACAAAATCGTGTCGTTGGCCGAGATGTCAGGAAAGCCTCCGTGGACCTGCATCGCAAGCCCCATCCGGGAACTCGGTCTGTGGGCCGCTATGGCTTCGCCAGCGTTGTCACGCGCTAGGGTACGTTTCGCTGTGGTTGTTTTGATTTCGTATTGTGGGCGTGTTTTGCATGTGTACGGTATCATGCACTTTGGTAGAGTAGGCTCTTCGTTGGGGGGGAAGGGGATGGTCGGCATGTCTAGGACTCTGTTAGCCAAGGATGTTTCTTGTTGGCGTCGGCATGCGATGGCCAGCTTCTCTCTCATGACGAGTTGCTTCATCACGCGTCATGTGCCGTTCATCAGCCTCCGTCGGCATTTTCGGCGATTTCACTGTCGTACGGGTGGTTTTCGTTAAGAATTATTGATGGGGCATCATTCCCCAAACCGTGGATGCCGACGAGTAGTACATTTCATGGAGAACAAGCAAGCAAGCACGTTACCTAGTACCACCACCACCACCCCGTATTTTTCCCTTGTCAGGGCTCCTCTAACGCTAGCCCGGGACCGAGCAACAGCATTGGCGGCGCTGGCAACACCACCACCACTACCAACAGCAGTGGCGGAGGCGGTATCGACTCGTACTCACGATCCTCCTCGGCATCATCCTTGGCATCCCTTCGTCGCGCCGGTGCCCGCATCCTCCTTGCCGTGTTTCGCGGCCAACCCAACGCCCGGGCGCCTATCGTCTCCTGCTGCCTTGGGGTCGTGGGCACTCACCGTCTCCCGAGTAGGGGGGGTAGGGGTGGCGCAGGGGCGGGGCCCCGTGGTGGAGAGAGGTGTGGTGGTTTTCTTGGCGCTGAAAATCATATTGAAGGGGGGGGGAGGGGGTAGCTTGGCCTTAGTGGGAGATGGATAAACACGTCCGTGTTGTCTGTGTCCGTGTCGCCCCACTTATATTGTGGTAGTATACACATGTTGGAGCTTTTCTGGGACGCGCGTATAGGCGGGGCTCACACGAGAGGAAGGCCACGCACGAGTTTTTGTTTTTTTAATGGTTGTGAGGGACAGAAGACATGTTGCGATGAGTGAGTATGGCTTTGCGTGCCCCTCCTCCTCTATCTGGGCGTTTCAAACCTCACTCCGTTGTTTTTTCACGCACACCCACTTTTTTGTCAGAGACGTGGCGGCCGACGCTCTTCTTGGGACCTGCCTCGGCGCCCTCGACCTTCTCCTGGAGCTGTCCGAGAACTGCCCCGATCTCATGTCGCCCTACGCCAACACCGTCGGCGACCTCGTCTTGGGCGGGGGAGGTATGCAATTCATATCGACGTTCCGCTCGATAATACTATCGTCCCCAAAAAACAATACCGAAGAATGTTTTATACAATACTGTACCCCAACAATATTTTTGTTGCCGCTGCTGCTGCTGTCGCTGTTGGGTGGTTTTTCGTGCACGCGTTGCCAGTGCTGGGGTGTACATTTAGTAGGTGTTTAGGTCTTCGATAGACTGCCGACGTTGGGCAAAAATCACATCGTGGAGCGGCCACCAAACCTACTGTGTTAACGAGCACCCCTAAGCTCTTCAATGCCAAAACCTGGCTTGTGCGGCATGTCTTCCGGCGCACGGGGTTTGTTGTTGCGCTTGTTCGATGTGTTTCTGCTCCCAGTAAGGTTGAGGATTCTTGTATGACTGACCCCGCTGGGTACGCCCCGAAAATCTACAGGTAGTAAGACTGACGACGTCTAGAATGAACGGGATGATTTGAACTGTTGGCAACAATAACACACACATTCTACACGCGCCCAGCGGAAGCACTTGGGTGATGTCGAGATGCGTATCTCACAGCTGTCTCTGCGTCTACGCAGGCCGGACCCTGCACCCGCGGCTGCTGGACAAGGCGGCAAGGTGCCTGGCCGTGTTGACTCGCCAGTCTAACGGCATTGGCATGGTCAATGAACTCATGAACCACGTGCAGAAGCAGGTCTTCTTCTTGGGGGCGGGCAGCGTGGGGGGGGGCGGGGGATGGGGAGGCGCGAGGGGGTTTTCAGGAGGGCGGCAGGGGGCTGGTCTGCAGGCCGGCCATGGTGGGTGTTGCTGTCAATCCTGTCGTTATTGTTGTTGTTGTTGTTGTTGTTGTTGGTGGTGGTGGTGGTGGTGGCGACGGTATTGGCGGTGTTGGTGGCGGTCCAGAACGGGCTCGCAATTGCGGTTCGTCAAATTTCGCGTCGAGGCTCACCTTCTTCTGATCCCACGAAATTCGTCGCCACCGTCGAGCACAGGTTACTGGATATTGGATATTGGATATTGGATATTGGATATCGTATAGAGTTTAATGTAGGATCCACGACTGACCTAAGTTTCTCGACTCCAGGGTCATTTTTCTCGTGGCATTTGGAGCCTGTTGGAACTGATGCCGCGGCTGCCGACCATGGGTGTTGCTGCTTCATTTCTGGCAGAGTGGATGCTCATGCTTTGTGCTCCGATTCCCCCATCCCATACTCCAGCTCTTACATGTTAAATATCTCCCTTTGTTTGACTCCTTTTCGCACCACTTGTTGCTGTTTTCTATCTCTTCCTTCCCGGGCGTGACGGACGCGTTTGGACCAAACGGATTTCCAGGTGTAGGAGGCGGGCTGGGGAGATCGGGAGACCCGGACGCTGAGCGCAAGTCGGCGATCGTGCTGGCGACGCACTTGATCAGGGGAGGGGCGCTGGAAGAGCGCGACGAGGATGCTCTTCTCGGATGGGCGGTGAGCGACGAGACATGGGAGAGATCAGAGAGATGAGAGATGAGCGATGAGGCATGAGACACACACCCCTGTTAGTGTTAGGATGATGTTAGGGACAGCAAACGCAACGATGACGACACTTTCAGCTTCTGGTTGTTCATCCGTGTGTATTGTGACCGGTCGCCCCGGTGGTCTAGTTGGTATCCTCGAAGCCCTCTAGAGGTCAGGTCAGGGGTTCGAATCCCGGCGTAAGCGAGCTTTACTTGCAAAATGGGTTTTTCTCTCGCTTCCGCTCCTGGCCTAGTGGATAGCGCTAGTTCGTGTGTACACAGAGGGAAGAGAGTGCTGAACTCTTCTCGCATTAAAAATCGAAGTCAAAGTACCGCAGGAGGGGAGGGTAGAGAGGGGCTCTTCTGTGCTTCTGTGTGACCACGGGTTGGAGAAAACGGCACTAGTGCTGTGAACGCTCATTTGAAGTGGAGACAATTTTTTTTTTGTGAAACATAGCCTGGGCCGTCGAACACATCGCTCCGTCCCGGCGTTGTAGGGATACGAGGTTAATGGTCTAACCAGCGCCTACGGCTGCGTTTTCATGAGTACACCCCGCCCTCGGTGATGTGATGTGAGAGTCTGGTCCAGTGAGAACAGGGCGTGCTCACTCCCGGCATTGTAGGGATGCGGGTTAAATGGTCTGAGTAGCGACCGCGTTGATATGAGTACCCCCCCCCCCATCCCCCCCTCCTGCCTGCAGGTGAGACTCCTCTCCCTCCTCCGCGGTGGCCCCTCTTCCCTCCACACCATCGCCCTTACTCTGGAACTCCTTGTGACGGCCACCTCCGGCGACCTGTGCTCGCCAGGAGGGCAGGGCGGCAGAAGCGGAAACGGCGGCACAGGGGGCGCTAGCAGTGACGGCAGCAGAGGCGTCGACCACCGGCGGGAAGGGTGGCGACGCGCCGGAGCTGCGGCTGCCGGGCGGTGCCTAGCCGGTATCGGGGTTCTTCGTCTCGAAGAAGGCGGCCGGGGAGTCGGCGGGGACGGCGGCGGGGGGGGCGGAAGGGAATTGGCATCTCGGTGGCAAGGTGGGTGCATCTATTATGGTGTATCCAGTGGGTGTGGGTGTTCCTTTTTTTTTTTGCATGAGTTTGACATCATGTTTTTTTGGGGGGGAGAGAATATTTTGCTGGTTCTAGACCGGTGTGATGGATCGATCGCGTCGCGCTTTTGTTTTTCACTCGTGACGGTACTGTAGTGTTTTGGCCTCTTGCGGCATTGGTTGTATTTTGCCGTTTCCATACCGTCTCGGGATGGATGTAATTCGTGGGTCCTACGGGGCGAACGGGGGTAGTAGACTCTGTAACTTACGGCCCGGTAACTTTGTCTTCATCCGCTTACGGCCGAAACTTGAGGTTCGTGTCTCCTGCTTGGGCGTTCGTTCGGGGAAGAATAAAATCGCCCCGACTACCCAAGACAGAAGAGACAGGTGGTGTGGAGGAAATCTTTTTACGACCTGAAGCAAAGCGTGTTTTGAGAGAGACAAGGAAAGCCGAGGCGAGACGAAACTTGGTGAACACCGGCGGAGTGGTTTCCCGTCTGTGTGGCCCCGAGATTCTACCTCTAGACCGCCGCACACCCTCCTCTTCTGTTGGTTAGTTCTATCCTCGTCTTACCGTTGTCTTGCCCCCCCCCCCGTTTACCCGCGCTGTTCGTTCCCCCCGAATCCCAAGGTCGAGCGCCACCGCTTGCCCGGAACGAAAAAGAGTTGGTCGATGTGACGCGTGCGTTAGGCCAGGAGGGCGAAGAGGAAGAGGAAGAGTCCCACATTTTCGGGGGCGAGCAAGGAGGAGGAGGTGGGGGACACGTGGTTGGGCAAAGGAGGGAGGGAGGGGGGCTGGCGCCGACGATGTCGCCGCCCTCTCCTGCAGGCGGTGCGACGTTGTGCGTCCGGGACATGGCGATAGCCATGTGGCGAGGTGAGTTGTCTTAAATAGTGTATCTGTCATGCTGAGTTGGTCATGGCGGTATTTGCGTCAGCCTCATCAGATAGTAGTCGGACCTTCCTGAGGAGTAAGGCAGCAGACTAGAAGTGCTTCGCAAAGATGTAGAAGTGCGTGTCTTCCCGGCCTTGTCTTGTCGTGGTGAGACATTGTTCGTTCATCGGCCCGGTTGTGTTTTTTTAGGCCTTCCGGTTTGGGGGCAGGAACGGTGATTTTTCGGGGTTTGCTTCGAAAATACTTGACATTCGATCACCGAACGAAGGGACGTGCCCGTTCGAGTAAAGGCCCCCTACCGAAGGGATGCATTGATGTTTTCACACATTGGGTGTTGTGCGTCACGGCCTTACCATCTCGCAGCAGTTCTTGCCCGTCACGGGTGTGAAGTAGGTTCGGAGGTTCCTCCGCCCCGCCGCTGGTTCGCGCCCCGAGCTGTCCCGTAAGCATCGTGCGTCTACTCCCGTCTGTGCTCGCCGCATGTGCAGGACACATGGGCCGCAACCACCCTGCCTGACTGACGCGCTGTCTCGCGCCCCCCCCTCCACCCCCCCAGAGGGCAACACGACCCTGTCCGAGTCCGCCCGGTCCTTGCACAGCTCCTGGTTCGCTGCCATCACCCTGTCCTGCCGAAACGCAGCAAGTTCCGCCGCAGCTTCCTCCGCCGGTGGTGGCGACACGGCTTTCCACAGCAATGGAACCCCCACCTCTTTTGACCAACAGAGAGTGGGCGGGGGAAGGGCACCAACGGGGGGCACGACAAGAGGGGGGGGGGCTAGCAGCGGGGACAATGCCGACCCAAGGGGGGGGGGCTCCTGGCTGCGGGCACGGCTGGGCATGCCGGTGTGGCCGTTCTCGGACGAGTCGTACGGCGATGAGGGGCCGATCGAAGACAGCGGCGGCTACTGGGGGTTGGGCGGAGGGACGGATGGTCTGGGCGGGGGGTACTCGCTGTGGAGGATTCCGACGGCCGAGTGCGCTTGGCAAGGTGCCCGTGTGGGTGTTCTGGTAGTGAAGTGTTGTAACCATCTTGTGGGATTTTTGCATTGCTTGCGTGCGCGGCGCTCCGGTGCGACAGGCGGACTCGATTTTTCCGTCGCCTGCCTGTCGCAAAGTTTCTTGTATTCTTGTTCTGTGCTAGAAATGCTCTTGAGGAGTTATTGCGTTTCTCAACTCCTCTCACCTCCTCCCCGCCCAGCGATACCCTCCCCCCCCCCCCCCCCC